GGTGATTTGAAATAAGATCAATCTCGTTAGTTTGAACCGCAATGCGCGTTTCAACTGACATGATATGCAGTTGCATGCTAAACCTATTCCATGAATCTTGAAAAAATACGTGCATTTCAAATACATTTCTACATTGTATAAAATATGTTTGTTTTTTTTTATCAAAAGGAAGCATAACGTTTTAATCGATTATAGTTATCTCGCATAATGATTTATTTCAGTGACACGTTTCATTTTTTTTTTAAATTAACAAACATTATGTTAAATTAAGGAATGATTGCAGCTAAGACGTAGAAATCCAAAAAAACAATCTATTGATCAATAATTTTTTCTTTCTGAGTATAATAAATTCTACAGATTTTATGCATTGTACAAGCAAAAAGTAGCACATGATATAGAAATTGCATCAAACATATTAATGTTTGTGCACTCGCACCAGAATTGTGGTCAGTCTATCTTAATCCAAATGTTCAAAGAATCCCCGCAAAATTGATAACTCTGTCCGTTGTATCAACATAGCATTGTATCGCTTAGTATACATATATTGCGTTGTTCCCGCGAGATCTTCTTGAAAAGAATGTTTTATTGAGTTTCCATGCTTGTTTCAATTGGCATTATTATCTTCGTTAAAGTTAGAACAATCAGCATTGGTTTTTATGAATTTCGATATCCTATATGTAGAACTTCGAAATTAGAGTGATCGATGGAAAATAAATTGGCATACGTATTCGTTCTCTTATCTCGAAAAGAAGTCGATATAAATTCGAAAAAAGAAAGAACCTTAATAATTTCTGTAATTTAAAATAAGAAATCCGAAATACGTCATTCTTACGGGTTTGGTTGTCCAGCGTTAAATAAATCGGACGCACCTGTGGATTTCGTTTCCAATAGCTATTTCGTACCATTTTGACATTACAATAATATAGCACATAGTTCACATGAAAGCACTGAGCAAACAGTCCTAGGACCCATTAATTGATTTTCGAATCTACGAATCGTGTAATTCTCTTAAATTAATTATATACAAATCATATATGACATATACGGATAAGAATCATAATAAGACTTTGTTATCTGGCTACTCAATATCGCACCGTGTAAAAATATATTGCTACACGGTTAGCATTAGCTTATATAAGTACGCACGACGACCCTTTTCATAATTCCAGTGTATCCCAGCACTATACTACACTCAGTCGGACAATCACTCTTCCAGAATATTCTCCGTGCAGGTACAGTTGTAGCGTCGCAATGTCGTGGGTGTACTTCTAAGGCCCACCGCTGCGGCGCTAGCGATACGCCCTGCCAAGTGTATCGGACGCCACTCGCGCTTCGCGTTGCCTCCGCTGGTACACTGGGCGTAACGCGATGTCACGGTACAGGTGCAGACGGCGTTGCGCCTGAGACTCCAGAAGCAGGCTGCTATATGTTAAAAGAGTCTCTGACGCCCACGCAATCGGTTACACAAACTGTACGACCTACACGTCGCCCAAGGCGCTTTGTCTAAAGGATCAGCCGTGCGGTGTTGTCATAAGAGAGTCAGACAGACTATTAGATGTAACGAGAGATACGCCCGTGCTCAACGCCAACAGCCTGGTAGATGTGTGCATCCGCATTTGTGTCAACGTACCATGTACGACATATCGCCGTATAGCAGGTGGAATGACGAAGGAGAGTTAATGGCGGAGAGAAAGTGGGAGGAGGGGGGAGAGAGATTTTTTATATTTTTCATTGTAACATGGTTAAACAGGGTGCAAAGAACGAGTGGCACTTTATAAATTGCACACGAAGAAAAACGAGTTTAAAGAAGGCGTCGTACTTCCGGTGGAAATCACTAAGAATAATTGTTATAGGAATCAGGCGTGGCCTGATTATTAAATTGGTCAAGATCTATAAATTGTATATGTTCTTTGGGGACCTCTCGGTGTATACGTTGTTTACAATAGAGTGTACGTACGGTGTGTTTAGAAGTAGCGGTCCAAGGAAACTTATAGGGATGACGAGAAGAGATGGAGCAGCAAGGAGGAGTCGGACTGACGGAAAGGTGAGGTATGGTGAGGTCTAATAAGGTCAGGTGAGGTTTGGAGAGGCTCAGCGGGGGCGAGAGTCCCCGCCCGTGCAACTCGACTAACTTGAGCTCGAGCATTACTATACGCCCTCTGGGAACCGAGAGGAGGAGAAAAACGAGACCAGCCTCCTTCTACGTTTTTGTTCTTTCTTACTTTCTCACTTTTCTCTTCTCCTCTCTTCTCAATACTCCTGTCTTTCCTCGCAATCTTTTCGCCACCTACAGCTACGCTTCTATTTTATTTGTCGATGCTGTACGACGCTCACAACACGAGCATCAATTTCCAAGACCTTTTACGTGGCAAGGAGGAAATGGCAGGCACGAAAATTCATCATCATTTTTGCTTCCTAACATCCAGGACGTGGCTACCGGTTCCTATCGTCGCCGAAGAATTTTCCACTTTCCACTTCCGTCCACGCTTTATTCGATTTGTACAATTTGCCATAAAACGAAGACTTTTTACGCTTTCGATTATATTGACCACGAGACGACAGAACGGCGACGGGAAAAAAAAAACGAAATTGGATTTTATGGGAAATCGATTTTTCATCGCCTTTCTTCGAAACTATCGCTGCATCTATTTCGAAGTATCGCGTACATGTAAATAACGGCGGATGAATGTGTTTTCGCAAATTCTCCAAAAAAGTTGTGCGAAAAAATTATTTATAGAATATCGAAGATAACAGTTGTCCGTCCGTAATGAAAATAAATTCATTGATATTACTCGTACAAAGTTACGTTATAATACTGCAGGTTCATAGATTGAATATGCACAGTTTACAAAAATTTTAATCTACCCTGTGTAGGTTATCAAGTAGAACGTTTAGTAAATGAAAGTGTAGACACTGATTAAAAAAATATTAATAAACCTTTGCCGCGAGACATCAAAATTATATTTATCGTTTATACTACAATGAATGTCTACGAGTCAATGAAAACTGTTACAGTTATTATGTCGACGGAATTGAAAATCTAATTTTCATTGTTAATTCTGGCCTTAGGATTTCGGTGATTGCAGAATATCGCCCCTATAGTAACACACTTTTCGTTTGATTATTAGTAAGCAAAATTCTAAATACCGCGAGCCTTTAAATAATTGCTATTTGCGATGATCCAAAATAAAAAAGAGAGGCGCTGATTAAAGTGTACATTAAATATTAAAAGCGAGAACTATTCCGCTACGCGTTTGTTTCTCGTTAGCACGTAAGTTAATAAACGATTGTTGATTATATGTAAACAAGTGAATTTGCACGCAATCGCACATGTTTAAAATTCTTTATAGGTATATTATACAGGTTGTTTCGTCTGACTTACTGGATTTTTATTATCATGCGGTTTTAGTTGTGAGATGAAGCTTCGCGTGGGATAGTCATGACAAATAAAATATCTCAGCGATATTTCAAACAGTCGGATAATCGCGATTGTTATAAAATAAATAACAGTCAAATTGGAAGAAATAGACAGGAAATTAATTTTGCACGGTATTACTAAATAAATTCGCTGTCACGGTAGTAAACTAAATTTGAAAAAGCTTAAATCTTTCGAACCATGGGAAATATCGGTCCAGCGCAGGTAATAGATTTTCATTTTTCCTGCAGTACGTATACTTCATTACGTAGAGTTCACCCACAAGGATAGGCCATCATCCTATGGGTTTCAACGTAAAAGAGTCCCCTTGACATTTCTACCGAATGCATTTCAAGTTGGTTTACCTTTGGCCCATTAATAAGTTTACCTACCCTCTTGAATTTTGACAATCAACGTAGAGATGAATTCCTCGGACTGGACATCATTTAACAAGGTACTTAACAAGGCTTTTCTAATAAAGGAGCTAAAATATTCGTTCGTTAATGACATCTAGAAAGTATCAATCGGGTGTACCGATGAGTCGGAACACAAACGTTGAACATTCGCGGATCAATAAATCTCACCAGTATATTTAGTTATCGTGTATCTTGCCGTGGCCCGTGTCCTTGTTATGTGTTATCTCACCGGTATTATACGATCGGATGTGATATTTCCAGGGACCGACGCGCCGTTCCGGCGAGACCCCATCATCGTGCCACGTCTGTTAACTGCCGAGATTTAATGTTCAACGTTTCCTCCGATGTACGCGGCGGCAGTCGGCGCTGACTGTCTCAGTCAGAATAAAGTCTTCGCGGCTTATCCAAAATCGATTCCGTTACATTCGATACGTAGAAGAGCGGAAGGCGTAGGTAAGCGTTGCACGGATCGAATAAAAGTAATAAAAATTGGCACGTGGTCTGAAATGTCCAAAAAACCTGAACGAAGCACGCGAGCCCGTTCGACGATCGATCGGTTCGTCTGTTTTTCAGAAAAAGTAACGGGATGACTTGCGACGTTAACAACGTCATATACTGGATATTAGTCGAAGGGTTTTGCTCTTAACGCTAGCGCGTACACGGTTACGATCTACATGCACGAGTCCCATATTGACAGACCGAGCGAGTAAGTCGAAAAAAGTGAGAAAAAAAACTCGGAAATTTCTCACGCTTTTTTGGCACTCATAAAAAGAGTATCGCACGAATTTTATAATAAAGAATATCGATACAAAAATTGAACATTACGTTTGTCGATATAACGCAATAACGACCAAAGCTATAGTAAAGCACGACATCGCTATCGCAACCAGAGACAACATATAAGAATATTAATCCTTTAGCTGTGATGCACTCCGACCAAGGAGTACGCGGCGTATCCGGTGCCGCAGAGGATGAAGTATTCTACGGCGCATATACATATCTCTACCCCATTCGCAAATGAACGGCCACTTCTTCATAGCATATATACAATATATATAATATGTATATATATACGCGCCTTTTGCAAGCAAAGCATTCCTGTGACTCTCAGTGAAATAGAAGTAGGAACACACATAAGGTACCGAAGGATAGATCTGTCTGATGCCTACCTTCGATTGATCTTGCTGCTGCAGTAGCTGTTCCCGAAGCATTTGCAGCTGTAGAATCATTTCGGAAAGCCTGCGTTCCTTCTCGACGAAGCTCTCGGCGCAGAGTACTCTCTGAAGGGCAGCGGCACCGTCTTGCTGTCCTTCGGTGTTCTGTAACCTCCCGGCACCAGGTGGCGACGGTGCGACACTGTTCGATATGCTGCTGCTGCTGCTACTGCTGAAACGTAGACCATTAGACCTTGGTCAATTTCATTCCTTTGACGATGGCTGAGCTCGGGGCTTGTGTGTAAGTGCACGGGCGCCCTCTATAGGGTCGGGGGTCGCTCGGGCGAGTTAGTGAATAATAGATAGGGTCGTGGCCGCGCAATCTCGGCGAAGCGAGTGTTTGCACCCGTGATGGGCCCCAGGATGCCGTCCCTGAACTCACCACCTCGACCACCCCTGTCCACACGGTTCGCTTTAAACTCACGACTCCTTTATACTAGGAAAAACGGACCACGAATAAGTGATACAGGGGTTATTGTAAACTGGAGACCATCGGAACCCGCAGTCCTGCTTTGGCGTAACACTTATCCCATCCCGGGGCTACTCTTTCCACCTTCCAACCCTTCCTCCCGATTACTCTCTTTCCCCCTCTCTTTATCTGGATCTTGTTTTTCATTATCCACCAACAATTTTCATCGTTCGAATGTAGGTCAGCTGTCAGCTACGCTAACCACGTTCTTAATAGGACCCATTCCCAGCCCCCCCCCTACGTCGGATTTTAATTTAAGAATTAGGAAATTTGTTAGCCAAACAATTGACAGATAATCTTCCGAGAACGCTCAAGTCGCGTTTAAGAAGAAAACGGCACTATGTGTCTGACAATCGAGCTGATTGTGTTATTGGCAAGAGAAGAGCCACGCGATGCAACAGCGCAGCATTCTGGGATTGATTATAAAAATTGTACTTTTGTTTAAATATAAATTACGTGGGGAAATTTATTTTATTTTGACATCTATTCGCGAAGATTCTCGAAGTATTCGTCGTTAATAAGTGTTAGACGCAAATGGATGACCTTATGCAATGAAAGTAATTTCGTAAGACCTACGTGCATTTCGAGCCAAACGTAGGTAATAAAGCAGAAAAGCGTCGTGGCTTTGAAAGATAGTAACGTTTCCAGGACAATGTGACAGAGTTCGTATGTTCCGCGAAGAAGCCGTATTATATTTTTCGTTTGCCCGGTCATTAGTAAAGAATGCTCCTTATCCGCGTGTGCGTTCTCATGAAAGGCCTCGGCTGTGTATGGTCTTCTTTGGACCGATAATATCAATGGTAGCCGAGGCCGCCTCTATTCGCGCCCAGTGACCCCAGTAGCCCTGCGCTAACAAAAGCTTCATTCTGTTATTATTATTGTATGTAAGAAACGAAGGGTTTATTTCCTACAGGACCGAGATAAATGGGCTTCCTCACTTTGTATCTCCTCCCTTTCACCCTCCCTATTACCACTCGGCTTTTACTTCTCAGATTAAATACCGTTCTATACGTGCTCCACTGACTGTTACTGCCTTCCTTGATAAACCGAATGCTGACTCGCTACTTGCGCTCGATCACTTTTCGTTAGAAAAACAATGACCTTTAGGACCTCGTGGAGCCCCTCGAACACGAGTTTAATTTATGTACTATACGTATACTACAATCGACATTGTTATCTGAACGAGTAAAATTTCAAATTTTAATCTTATATATTGGACATCGATGCTTTTATGAAGAGAGACAATTATCGAATTAATAAAAATTTAACATGGGCCATAGCCCATTTTAGGCTTAAAAATAGGTATGTTAAATCAAAGTGCCTCGTTAACGCAATGACAAAGACTAATTTTTATACGATGCTATAATTTTCTTCAATATATAACTCTTATGTAATTCCGCCTCGTTGGGGGGAGCTATAATGTGCGCAAGCAACCTCATTACAATACGTTGATCCAATTCATCGATTTTTGCACTGATAAGTAACGTTCGCGATATAATGTAATCGCGATATATTTTTGGAATCGCTCCGACGACGTTATTTCCTCGAGGGGCCCGGTCTTTCCCCACCTGTTTTTATTTCGAATATGAATTTGTAGAAAAATAAGATTACCTCATAGCATTGAATAATGAATATATTTTTTACCGTTCGACGTTATTTTCGGACCTTCGGCATATTTAACGGTATTGTTTACTTCAAGAATTTTCAAATATCAGTAGCTAGCACAACGGATTATTTCGAGTGGTGGCAAAAGTTTACTTGCTGGTCCTCTCAGGAATTTGATACTGCCAACGACTTCCGGTCTGCGTTCGTTTTCCCGAAGCTCGTAATTACTTTGTTATTTACATTATGTGCGTGGTTATCCGGTAATGGTGGTTTCGTTTACGGCCGAATTTCGTGGTTTGACGGCTCTAATAACGCAGCTGCTGTTGCTTTTAGCATCTGTGATTAGACAGACTGAAGTGGGGCGCTGTAGGAATGATTCGCGCGAAGCGGAAAGTCCCAAATTCATGAAAAATTTTTCAGGCGAAATGAACCCTGCCTTTTTCTATATCGTTTCTATTCTGTATTCTGTATTTTGCAATTTTTATAAATCATACCCAAGTATAGTATAATGACACTACTATTAGAATGTTCCTTGGAAATAGATACAATCAACGCGCAAATCATTTACTAAGTTTACTCGATGCGACCGACCCTCATTCGTACTACGAAAAGCTGTTATAATTTTATGGAAAAGCACAACTTTTTGTCAACACGCTCTTACGTGAAACGAGAACAAAATATATATGCAATTTTGCCTGTAAGGAATATCACGCATTTTACATTAAGTTCTATAATTTTTTATGCGACATACATTTCGTCTACGTATTTAGAGGATCAAAAAGGTGATGAATTCAACAGTATCGCGATCAATGATAAGAAACAAAAGAAGAAAAGATACAGAAAGACAGTTGGTAGTAAAAAAAAAAAAAAAAAAAAAAAAAAAAAAAAAAAAAAAAAAAAAAAAAAAAAAAAAAAAAAAAAAAAAAAAAAAAAAAAAAAAAAAAAAAAAAAAAAAAAAAAAAAAAAAAAAAAAAAAAAAAAAAAAAAAAAAAAAAAAAAAAAAAAAAAAAAAAAAAAAAAAAAAAAAAAAAAAAAAAAAAAAAAAAAAAAAAAAAAAAAAAAAAAAAAAAAAAAAAAAAAAAAAAAAAAAAAAAAAAAAAAAAAAAAAAAAAAAAAAAAAAAAAAAAAAAAAAAAAAAAAAAAAAAAAAAAAAAAAAAAAAAAAAAAAAAAAAAAAAAAAAAAAAAAAAAAAAAAAAAAAAAAAAAAAAAAAAAAAAAAAAAAAAAAAAAAAAAAAAAAAAAAAAAAAAAAAAAAAAAAAAAAAAAAAAAAAAAAAAAAAAAAAAAAAAAAAAAAAAAAAAAAAAAAAAAAAAAAAAAAAAAAAAAAAAAAAAAAAAAAAAAAAAAAAAAAAAAAAAAAAAAAAAAAAAAAAAAAAAAAAAAAAAAAAAAAAAAAAAAAAAAAAAAAAAAAAAAAAAAAAAAAAAAAAAAAAAAAAAAAAAAAAAAAAAAAAAAAAAAAAAAAAAAAAAAAAAAAAAAAAAAAAAAAAAAAAAAAAAAAAAAAAAAAAAAAAAAAAAAAAAAAAAAAAAAAAAAAAAAAAAAATTGGGGGAAAAAAAAAAAAAAAAAAAAAATAAAGAGAGCAGGCACTAATCGTCGTAGTTATAAGCAAGGACTCATTTCTTGATCAACAGTTACTCGAAGTTGGCATTCAGGATGCCATAAACAGAATAAAGAAAAGAAACCAAGGATATCTCTAGCCAATATATAATCGCGATATAAGAGAATAAAAAGCACGAAACTGTAATTAACGCATTGCAATCTCCATCCAGATGAAAAATGTATTTGACGATAACGCGATTGAAATTGCAGTATAGAACGAAGTATGCAAAAGCAGCGAGAAGCAGGAGGAAGCACTGAGCGCGCGTTCGGTCAGTTTCCTGAGAAGCCCAAAGGGGCTCCTCGAGGAAGGTGAATGCGAGAGAAGATTTGCGTGACAGAAGGCATCTTAATCGAGAAGGCTGTAAGAACCAAGAGGCGCCCAGAAGTGCTGACTGACCTATGCGTATTGTGACTGGTCGGCGTGGATGATGGCGGCGGAGTGCGTCTGGTCGAGTCGTCCTGTAGCGATAGCGAACCGCTGTTCATTTTACAAGTGAGCCTCTTGAGCACGTCGTCCATGGACCTTTTGGTACCAACAGCAGTGGCGGCGGCACCGTTATTGTTGTTGTTGTTGTTTTGCGTAACGGTGTTATTATTGTCGTTCGGGGCGACGGTGTTGTTGTTATTGTGATGAGCGCTGTTGTTATTGTTGTTGCTGCTACTGGTGTTGTTATTATTGTGATGATGATGGTGGTGATGATGATGATGAGGATGGGCAGGATTGTGAGCAGGTTGATGAGAGTAGTAGGGGTCGCCCAGGAGGCTGGGCGGGGAGCCGCACTCCGACGAGCTCGCAGGCTCCGGATTTCCCACGGACGAGGACGAGGTGTTCGTGTGGTGGTGGTGGTGGTGGTGATGATGGTGATGCTGCGGAGTGTAGCCGTCCTGACCGGCGAGGAAGAGCCTCTGCCTCTTTGGGGCTGGAGGTGAATTCGGCGAGGGCGACGGGGAGTCACGGAGTTCCGGTTCGCTGGTGGTCGCCGGCGACGAGCATCCGGAAGACTCGCACTCGCCCCTCTGGATGGGGTAGCACTCCTCAATTTCAACCGCTCCTGGAGCACTGGGTTCTTCGTTGGCTGTCTCAGCTCCGGCTGCCGCCACCGGCGAGGTGGTGTCTTCCTCCTCCTCGGCAGAGCCCGCCACTGTTCCCGCACCGCCCCCACCCTCCGATAGCTTCGTTGGTGGCGACTTCCTCTTCGAGGACATCCTTAGTCTGCAACAGAAGCGCAACGAGAGGCACGTTTAGTTCTCACCTTGGAGCTCGCTTCGTCTCATTATCATCATTCCCGACTTCTCCCCGATTGGTCTCGAGTTTCAACTCGACAAAGGTCTATTGCAGGCCCACTAATCACCTTTACAATGTCTCTTCCTCGTCATATCAATTTCTTCGAGACATGGCTCTCGAAGATGGAAGGCAACGAAGCCTTAAGGTTAATTCGCATATCTAGGAAATTGTCCTCTGTCGGAAGGAAGCGGAGAGGAGAATTCGATCTAGACGGAGTTTGCTCCGCTCTCCCTCTTCCGCTCCTTATTTACCAGTCCGAAGCTAGTTGGTATTAATTTAGCTCGAGCCTCACGGAGGTTGTCCGTTCATTTCCGTCGACGAATAACATCTAAACTCGTGCAATTAGTCGAAAGATTTCAAGTTACGTTGCTGCTGCGGGCCTAACGTAGCTCCATCGAGCCAAATGAGCTGATACCGTTACGCAACAAGAGGCGCAGTAACGGTCATTATCGCTCTTTGAATACGAATTATTGTGTGCGTGCGGTAACATTCTTTCCATTGGTCAAAGAAAGAGAGAGAGAGAGAGAGAGAGAGAGTGTGTGAAAGACGGAAAGTCAGGACCTCGGAGGAGAAGAGTGCGAACGAACGGCGGTTCCGCGTGTCTTCATTATCTCCTTATCAAAGTGACTGAGGTTGTGAGGTCAGAGGCTCTACTTCTTATGCTTTTATTATTCTCCGTGGTGGAATCGCGATGGAGTAATGTCGACTTAATATTGTAATGCGTAATGCGTAACGCAGGCGGCAGGAGTGAGCAGCCGGTGACTATTCGGTGGGAAAGTGGCCGTGACAAATCGTAGCATCCGAAGATTCGAAAAATCAGGGAACGCACGGATACGTGGGAGATCGTACGCGTGATCCGTGGCTCCGGCGCGCATGAACGCCTTTTTACTCCATGCAATTGTAAACATGGGCGTGCCTATGCGCAGGTCCTTGACAATCAGTAAATCCTGCGAGTCCTGGATACGGATTTACGCGTACTCACGTATATTGACAGGAGCCGCCTCCTGTGGCTACGCGAAGCGTCGGTACAGCAAGCGACTCCCACGCGAAAAGCGCATGCCGTTCAAACTATACTTCGATTTGGCCAGCAGTCACGTTCTTCGCACTAAATAAGAATTGTGGAGCCCATCAATGTACTTTGTCGAAAGTGCATCTCTCCACGAGTGACCCCGACTATGCGATTAGCGAAATCTAACACAATTTTTTTTTCTTATCTCCTTATTTGTACACCAATATGAAACTTTGTATCGAATTCCTTAACGGGATTACTCGCTGAACTTTGATTGACAGCTCGTTACAAATACAATTATTCTTCACGATGCAGTTCAGTTGCCGACAGTCACTCTTATATTTCGATCACTATATGAAAATTTTGGTTCAAGATTTCAAATGATTGGAAATTAATTTCATGGATTTTCTTTCTCTATCTATAATTTCTACGTGAAATTTTGCAGGATTTATACGCTGAGGTATTACATGCTATTCTGGAAAAGTGCTTCTAATTCATTTGACTGACTGGTCCTTAAGAGTTGAAGGGCACTTCGGTAGCACAATGATGAGCCATTATGTCCGTATATCTGACCGTGAACGAACGCGAACAAAGAAATACTGAGAAATATGTCTGACAGTATCTGATACTCTCTCGGTTAACCGTTCAAGTCAATTCGGAAAGAAGATAAAAATATCGATAAGAGAAGAATTTTTTGCGATGGGCATCCCATTTGTCTGGTTTCTAGGCAGCGATGAAAATTAACAGCTCGGGCAACGATTAATCTGGGCATCCACTCGTGCGCGAGGTAAAGAACGGCTTTGGGTGGGCTGCGATTTCTCAAAAAAGCTATGCGTATTCTTTGAGTATTTCAAAGGAACAGAAGGAACTAGGGTGGGATAGGAGAAGAAGTAAAAGAAGAAGAATGAGTAATGCCTCGTTCGAAATATAGGGAAGTCGAAGTCTCAGCGACGAATGAAGTTTCAAAGTTCGTACTTTTCAATATATACAGACATAGATTTTCACTTGTAGGCCCTGATAATTTACCGACACCGATAAACTGTTTGCTTGTTTATTATGTATAAGATAAACTAGGGAATCCCCCACTGTCTTCTTAACGTTAAGTAATTCCGCTTCTCATTCAATTTTTCATTCTTCTAGTGTTTCAGCAGATAAGCCACTGCTAACACGTGCTAATGAGTGGGTGTCGCGAAACAATAAGAAGGAAAAAGTTCAAGATCGTACGGACGTATATCGACGGTATTCTATAACGAAGTAGCCGCGCTCGGTGCGCGTAAAAAATGCCTGAAGCAGCCAAACTCGATGCTTTTTTCAATGGAGACCAAAATCACGTGACCGTTCCCGGGTTAATTGCCTTTTCATTTCTAATCTTAATGCAGTCATTCTCAATGAAAAAAAAAACAAAAACAAAAAAAAAATCAAATTTATTTACGTTCCATGCTCATAAACACGTAAGAGCTCGAATTCTGACCGGCAAATACGTAAATTGGGCCATTGCGAAGAGGCCAATTTAGAAGTGGTGGTTGGGAGATGCAACTATTTACGGAAGATGCTCGGAAGATAAATGTATGGACGAAAATAATGTTTCATTTATATTTAGACAATGCAACATTTCCGTTTGTATTCTCATTCGTCGGTCGCACTGCTATCGCATAATAGGCATTATGAAATTACAACATTATAGACATGTAGTAAACTTAAGAGATCCGACAGAATTATCAAGGCGTCTGTGTCAGTGTACACTTGCTCGCGATGTCTGGCTTATCGTGAAAGGTCGAACATCCCAGTTACATTAACTTCGCAGATTAAGTATCATTCAAAGCAATGTTGTGGCTATATTTAAAATCGTAGCCACGCTGCCGTGCCACTGTGTTAATGGTCGCTCCACCATTATTCTACGAGATTGACAATCAGGTAGGACTAGAAAATGCATAAGCACGGAGCATCCTCGGAAACGTACCTACTTCCGGACACTGTAGAAATCTACCTCGGAAAAATAGGCGACTCTCGAGTCTCAGGCAGCTCCCGTCACTCGTATACAGAGGGTTAAGGCGATCCCTTAATCTTAGGAAGGACATAGGAGTCCAGTGAAAACCCACCCAATATCATCCCTTTCAGAGTTAAAAACAGCCAGAATAATCGTAGACGACGACGCCACCCACCTCGAATTCGCTTAATTGACTCCTAATTAGGCGGCAGTCATTGGCACTCGCAGGCAAAGTGGACGCGATGCAGCGTAGCCGTGCCCGTGAATACGTACCAGCGCTCAGTCCGTGCTCACGTGCCTACGTAGCTACACTGCTGTCCCCGTGCGCAATGTCCTCGGCCGAAGCTCGACTTTCTATTAGTGGCACAATGGGAACGTGGTCGTTGTGGTGCAGCATCTGTTCGGGCTCAAGTAGCAAGTAGGGTTGGTGGAAGCGGGACCAAAGTAAGGGTGGCCTTCCAGGAGCCTATTGCAGCGCTACAGGAGCCCTCAGATCCCGCGTTCCCACTTCTCGGCATCTTCAGCCTAGCGCCCTTCGACGTCCAACTAACATAAGAAAGTGGGCTTCCGAAACTGCCAGTACTAAGAGTGCCCTATACGTGATGTCTAGAATGAGAGGAATAGGGAAGAAGCACAGAAAATATAACCGGACCCACGACGAGCGTCGTAATCGTCTTGGGCACTCGATTCATTGATTAAACTGTTCGAGGCACGCATACCCAAATCGCGGTCTCTGACGCAACCGCGGACTGATTTTACGCCGCACAATTCTTCCCGCTCGCATTTATAAATACGGACTCGTCGTATGGACCGATTCGATTGTTTCGTATGCTGCGTCGGGACGGATAGTCTAATCTAAGTTATCGAAGAGCTCCATGACGTTAGTGAAATATGGATATGCTAAGATGGATAAATTAAGTACCATATGTTCCAGTAGAATCTTACGGACGTGCATAATTTTTAACGAAAATTGCAGTCGACCACGTGTCGCTTGCAAGAGACTTCATTGTTTTCAATCTGAGGGAGGAACGCATTGAATTCGTAGACCGACTATAGCTTGATGCGATTGATGCTCGTAGTCAAATTCCTTCGCGTTGTATTTTAAAACGAGAAACTGTGGAACGGTGGGTCTACCGTGTACATCAAATGGACCGGCTAGCCTCGGTTGGACCAACACTCCTGAATGGCCATACAAGTATAGGTTTCGCCAATTCATCAGTTTATTGTGTAAAACTTCATTGTGACGATTATAAGGATGATCCAATCTTTTTGTTAGTCTGGCCATGCAGAGAACTTGATTCGATTAAGACGTGGATTTACAACAATCCAGAATGACCTTTGCTAAACACAGCTTCAAGCTTAACCCCTTCTTTGCCATTGACGTAATATTGCGAGAGCAAATCGTGCCCCGTGTGACATTGACGTAATAGTGCGCACACATTTTTTTTTATTAACTTCCTCCGAATTCAAGCGGTAGTTGGGGGTTTTTGGGGTCACTAAATTTCGAATTTGAAATTAGAATTGTCAAATTTGAAATGACTCGTCCAAAAAGGCGGACACCCTCTTGTAACTGTTGTCAATTTTCAAGTCTTTTCCGTAATTTTGTGTCAGCTGTCTTGAATTTCCAAATGTTTAATTCAAATTCGAATTCGACGACCCAAAAAATCCCTTAGTAGATATTGTCAACTGGAATTAAAAAAAAAAGGTTCTTGCCAGTATTGAGCACTTTTAGTCGAATTTCTCAGCGAATGGGTTAAAGTAAAACTGCGTCCTAGTAAGGCTATCTTGTCAAGTCAAAACGACGAAGAGTTTACTGAATCATCGATTGATTGAAGTCCAGAGTTTATTTTAGTAAATCTTTTACGAAACGCAATAAACATTTTTTCCCCACTTCTTTCGCACTAATCAATCCTTGATTTCATACTGTCTCACGTCGTTTTAACTGACCATCCTTTGACCCTGCTTCTGTACGAATATATCCCTGCGCCTCCTTTCGAATCTTATTTCGTGTAAAAAAGATAGCTAAATCCGAACGAAATTAAACTGACGAACCGAAATGGCCACATGCGCCAGAAAAAGCAACCTGCAAGTACGAAGAACCAAAGGAAACTAATGGACGCAACGTGAAAAAAGGATCCCGATTTTCACGTACGAAATGTGAGGTAAAAATGGAGAGTGACAGTGGCGCTCGGATAATGCGAAAAGGCAGACGGAAGAATGTCGAAGGATAGAGACGCGGCGAGGAAAGAAAGCCATATCGTTAGTATTCTTTATAGAAGCGGCGTGGGATATGCTCTACATAATGGAGTCCCAGCTAGCGTCTCTTCTTTTGAAGCTGCGTCGGCCGATCTCTTGTTTATGTATGAGCGGGAGCGGACCACACCCACACCGAGGCAGAGCATATAACCACAGCGCACTACCTCGCGCTGCACCCCACAGCACCCCACAGCACACAGCACTGTCCTGGGTACTCGGGTTCTCGGCACGTCGACGAGAGCACACTACGGCAGCAGCGAAGCACACCCAGAGCACACCCAGAGCCCACCAGAAAATACATTCACAGCCCGGCAACGTGCACCGACTCTGCCTGTAAAAGCAATCTTCTGCCAGTCTTCCTGCTACTGAGAATACGTTATCAGCGAACCTATGTAGATATCTCCTTCGCTTCCTCCTCTTCGCCATACCCTTTACCCCTTTTCTCTTTTTCCTCGCTACAATGCCCGCCTCTCTCCTCCAACCCACCCACCCACGCTACCTGCCTATCCACCTGTCCTATACCATCCATCCACCTACCAACCAAGATTCCTCTTCACGGTTTCCCGTCCCAAAGATTTTACGCTGTCGCGAAGCTCTCGTCATTTCGCATCCGTTGCATCCACTAACCAGTCGTCCTCCGTGACTCCAGCTCTCTTCCTGTTCCTCGATTCATGGCTTCTCGTCACAATTCACCTCTACTTATTTATTCCAGGTTTAAGATCCGTAAGCACATGCATGGCTATGGGTGTGATCCTCGCCGGTGATGCATTAAGTAACGTATGCATATTGATGTTTTAAGGAAGAGCATAAAAAGTACAAGACTAATGGCTATTTAAAGAAGTGAGATTAAGTGTGTCGTATCTGACAGCTGATACTGTGAATTGTACGATTGGCCTTGACGTGGCACGCGTCGAGGTCGCGAAAACTATGAGCAATTCATTTTCGCAAGGGACTCTGCGAACCCTCAAGCCGAACGATTCGCGCCGCACGAGTGACGAGCGATAATGGAGCCAACGTATAAGATTGATTCACGTGCTACGAAATCGCTCCATTGTAATTAATCATTGACTCGATTACACGAGAAACGAGCGTGCTGGTGAACATCACTGAGGAGAATGCGATTAAAAGGAACGACAACTTGAGGGAGTTCCGAGGAGGTCTCCGAGCATCTCTTACGATAACGTCTCGACTACTTCTTGTATCGCGTATTGTAGTACAAAAAATTATTTTATAAAAACAGTTTATGATTCAATTACTCCCGTAGACATGAAGTTCACATGATTCTCGAAGGTATCAATTACGAAGACGAGTATGTACTTTCGATGATAAATAGGATGACTGTGTAAAGGATCTGAAGCAGACACGTAACTCTTCAGAAACTACCTGTCGAAGTTGTGGTTAAGTCTAAGAGGCCAAGATGCAATTATTTTTCTCTATATGCAAAAACAGATAACGAATGTTCTAAACTCTATGACGATTACCATAGTCTTTTTTCTCAGTGCAGACTTTTAACCATACGATCGCATACAATGATATTACGGTGGGGAAATAATTATACGAACAAGTAATATTGATTGTTTGGACAAACAAGGCGCACGTTGAGGTGAATATTTGACGAAACGGCATGAAGTCACCGACACGTGAAGTTGCATTGGATATCGCGCGGAGTCTGGACCAGAGGAGCGGAGCAGAGTGGAGACGCTTGAGAATAGTAGGAAGAGAGAAGAGCGTGGAGTGAAAAGACGACGATAGAGGAGGAGTCAGGGAGAAGAGGCGAGGGCCTTCTGGCGGAGTGTAGGTTTAAGGAGAAGTGGGGCCATGTGTTCAGTGTCAAGTTGCTCGAACCTAGGCCGCTTCCTCCGTCCTCCGCCTTCCAGCCTCCGTTCTCTTGGCCACGATCCGTCCTCCGTTTCTCCATATTCCTTAGTTCTCTCGTTTCCTCGGTGCCTAGCAGCTCTCTTCCTCCTCTTGGACGGTTCCGTTCCTCGAGTCTCTTCGTTCCACGGCCCCTCTTCCCGTCTTCGAAAGATGCACGTGCAGCCTCCTGCGCACCAGCGTCTTACCAGCGAGAGTAAAGAGCAGCGAAGAAGGAACGAAGAGAAGCAGGCAGGAGAGGCGAGAGCACATCGATGGGAACAAAGCCCACAGCATCTGGAACGCGTTAGAGTCCTCCGCAACCGGCCGACTCCCCTCGACGTACACGCACTCTTTCCAGCTCCCCGTAGGCACCCGAAACACCCACATCTGCGCCGTCCTCGTATCTCGACACGTCGGCCCCAACGAACACGTAACTGCTCCATACAGCAAGAACAAAGCGCGAACGCTAATGCGCATGTACTTATACCCGGTACTCTGGCTATCTCTCCTATTCATCATCCTCGGCCGTGCACCATTGATGATCCTCCGCAAACTCTGCGCACTGCGGCCATTGTGCTCCCATAGGTGAGAGCACCGCGCGCGCGAGTTCCTCTTCGGACAATTCGAGTCCTGTGCCCTGTGCTTCTAGCACGGCCCGGCCGATCCCTATGGACAATGACACTTTCATTTTTTTTCTTTTTTTTTTTTTCTCTAGCGCCGGGACTATCGCCGCCTTTTATAGTTCCCTCGAATGAACCTGAGTCCTCCTCTTTGTTTCACATATTTACTATACGCTACTAAGGCATTTTTGCTGGATGGAGAGTGGTGAAAGGTCGGACTGGTTTAACGATAATGTTCGGTGAAAAGGTGACCAATTTTCATCCCTTATACGGGATCACTGATTAAAATTCCAGAGTCAAGAATACAAAACGTCCTGAAATAGTACCAAATCTCTGGAGATTCGTAATGCGAACACGAGAAGGATGATTCGGACTGAAGGAATTTTAAAAATGATCATTTTGCGTTCCTTCTTCTTGAAAATGTATTATTTCCGTAGGCCCGTCCTTTCAATTACAAATCCACGACTGGTGAGTGATGTAAAATTGTTAACTCTCTTATCGTTAAAACGACTACGTATTGTTAAGGTCTTATGTAAGTTTGCATCGCGGACCAAGTATCCAAGTCACCGTGGAGACTCACTGGCGGATCTTATGTCGGACAAACGCGAATGTATGATAAATAAGGCGAACATAATATGTAAATAAAGAACAATAACGGTACCTGCCTGCAAGGACGGACAATCGAAAAGGGTCAACGTCATACAAGTCTTTGAATAATCGATCAGCCGGAACGACTTGGCAATATTTCAAATCACACGTAACTATTGCATTCCGAGAATAGAATTCCACAGAAGTGAGTGTGCATCTCTAAATGGAGAGAGAGTGAATCCTATTGTAAATCGTATTGAGCCGCGAGGACGTCGTAGTTGAAAGTAGAAGGACGAGGCCAGGACAGAGTCCGAGATTCTAAAGCGTGGAAAAGCCGGGCCGAGTGCGTGACTAGCATGCTTGTTCCTAATCTCGATCCCACTCGGCTCGATTAATCGGGCCTCGTTCAAGTTGACCTTGACCCGTCGGAGAAGAACCATCGATAAGGAAAAACTTTGATGTTTCAAGACATTTCGCAGAATCGTAGTACTGCAATGCGTCGTGCAGTCACTGCCTATTAAATCACGCGTGTTGCTTTGTAAACATACTTTTTTTTTTACTGGAATTTCCGTCATAATACACAATTCGGTTGCAGCCGCCCAGAGGGTCAAAGTTCGAATTCCTTTGATAAATTGACACCGATGACACTTTAATTTCCAGCATTGTTCACGTCGTGCAATGTCACTGCACCGCGCACAGACATTTTTCGAGTAAGCTTACGCAATAACAAGCTACGCTGTTCGCCAGCGTCGACACGATGTCGGATACACGTTGACGTTATCGACGCCAATTTTTCGTTCTTTCCTTCGCGGCACGGGAGCTTCGACGATCTTGTGTTTTGACATTGCGATATTATGCTCTGTGCGCGCTGTCAGTAAGACGGCTGGAATCGCGATCGAAGCACATAGTAAATTTCGATTCTCAGGACGAGGGAAAGTTCTACGAAGCTGAACGGGACTCGTCCCTTTCCTATTTTAGGCAGATGTCGCGTCTCGCATTCCACCCTGACGGCACTAGATCTTTTCCTTCCCGCTCCTAATCACTATCTCAAATTGCATTTGTTTAGTTGCCATCTCCCTCCCTCCAAAGGAAAGCACTCGCACACTCGTGGGGACAATAACGAGGGACACAGGCAATTAATGAAATCGAATACGCGTGCTGTGCACGTAGGCAGTGTAGGCATAGTACAGGGCTTTTTTTGGTGCACTGTACTCGAAATAATAAAATAAAAGTATCGATCGCTCACGCATTCCATTCGTACTGTATCATTGGGCTGCGTAGCATGTGGCATGTGGTATATGAATAGCTTCACTGTAACGGTTGTTCATCTTGAGGACGGACAAAGAAGAAGGAGAGGCACTATTGGAAATTTGGACAACTTTTTCTAAGAAAGGCGCGAGTCACCGATATGACCCAGGAGAACAATATGTCAATGTCTTGTTGCGTTGCTTTTTCCAGAAATCCATATGAATTTTCATAAGGGAAGATCGTATCTCTATAATAAACGGATGCACAGAACAGTCATTCGAGATATCTTGAATAGGAAGTATCTTGCTCCAAGGGATTTATCTGTTCGCGGAAGATGCAATAAGATTGTGTAAAAAATTATGAAATTACCAGCCATGCTCTAGCGTGAAAATGACACGTGTGTGGATACCTAAGGACGTCCTCTCGAAGTTCGACACCGAGTTGGTTTCGTTCGTTGGGCTCTACGGACGCGCAGATGGCCCGCGTGGACGTTAAATATAAAAATTTGGACGGGTCCCCGTTTACAGAAAAAGGCGCCACTTAATTTTGGACAGTTTCGCCGTTTCCTCGTCGTACGCGTCGTGTCACGATTAGAAATAGCGCGAACGCATTACCTTGGGATATCGTAGCTGACCCCAGTGTTATTGCGCTGTCTGTCCCGATTGTTACACTCTGATCTACGTCAGTTACTCAATTAGGGAGGTACTCTTTTTCCTACTTGTCGGTCATGCAAAGAGAACTTGACAGATGGCTTGGACCGTATAATTCGCCACTAGGGAGCCTGGAAGTTATTTCTTACTTTACTCAGAGATTTCGTTGATTTTTAATATTAACCTCCCTGAATTCAACTTCGTTTCAATTCGTAGCAACGTATCGTTCTTGGGATTTGGTAAACGTTGAGGCTGGAAGCCGTCATAAAAATAAAGCGTGCTTGACCGTGCTGACAATGCGTTGCCTTCGTAGCGAAGGGAATGAAGTTCTTTGAAAAGTGGACTAACGATATCCAGATGTGCGGGAGACCGCATGGTCTGACAATTGTGTACAATAAGAGCTAATGAAGAGAGAGGGAAAGAGAGAGAAAAGGGAATTCCCGAGTTTTGAGAAAACATTAAATTTACGTACCTAATTTATATTGTCTAGCACGGAAAGTCGCTCGACGAACGCATGGCTTGGTCGAATTGTTTGAAACTTAAACTGTAAATACGCACGAAGCCGAGTTACAAAAGCCTTCGGAGCAGTCATTCTTTTTTACGATTGCAGGACTATTTTAAAACAACAGCATTCCCCTTTCAGTGAGTGAGGGAGCTTCCGCCCCTAAAGGGACTGCTGATCTACTCAACGTGGATGCCGTGAAGGTTTACGAAGGTACGAGTGCCCTAGTTCCCCTCCCCCCCTCCCACCCAGCTACGCGCTCAGCATTCGTGCACGTTACGTGCGGGACAGGCGGTTTGTTCACGGGGGGCCGAAGTGGCACCTGAGGTGGTGCACGGGGGACATTCGACAGCGATCAGACATCGACAGGAAGATCGAATATAGAATTATATTAGTTTGGCGTTCGGGACTCATGTAAATTAAAGGAAGACGTGACGGAGAGGAGGGATGGACGAACAGAGAGAGACAGCCAAGGAGGGAGGAAGGGTCACTGGGTCAGATGCACTGCTGCCTCTTGCTCGCACATTCTCTCTCTCTCTCTCATTCACACTTAATTTGAGAAAGTCAGCGGCACGCGGTCCCTTCCGCTGCTTACCTCCCCCTTCGACCTATCCGTCCGGCGCTTCAGCCTGTTCCCGAACACATGGCCATTAGGACCTGCATATACCAAATAGCAAGTCAAGAGTCTTTGGAGAACGCAGCCTCCCTCTATGACTCTTCCCTTGGTCTCTCTCTCGAGAAAACACGTCAGTGTAAAAGTAAATACATCTTACACGCGCCAGTTAGTCCTTTTTCATTGGCAAATCGACAATCCACGCAAAGTAATAGTCGAACAGCGACGAAGCAATGTGCATCGCAGAAGGGTGGCCAGAATCGGAAGAGGGCGTCAAGGGTGGACCGAGCGGCCGGTGTCAGCGGCGGTTAACACACGAGGGACCCACGTTGCGCGGAGGTACGTCAGCCTGCACGAGTAAGTCCACGTCTCGTGTCAGCCGTTACAAGGGGGAAGCGAAGGCCAGCGTGCCGCGCGTGCATCTAGCCGACTCACCTGCCAAACGTGCTCATATCATATTGGTCGCTGATGGAGAACTCGAGGCCGAGGATCAGCGATGCCACTCTCACGTATCTCTCACGCGCTAGCTCGCGGCTACACCTCACAGTCACTTTGCCGTGGCGGCCGAGCGGGCAGCTTGCCGGCCCGGTGCGCGCTGCGATCGGCCGGTCGCTCGGATCACGGAACACTGATCCCACGGGAGGAACCGGAAACCGGCAATTCACTTAACGTGTCCTCTAGGTCGGCGAGAAGCGCGGGCAGCCGGCGCCTCTGAGACTGGCCATTTCCGAGGGAGCACGAGGGAGCACGAGGGAGCACGAGCGTGCGTGGCTACGCACCGAACGGAACAGTCGAGGCCTCCAGGCGGTAGCGGAGCGAGGAGGAGCGTGAGACATACAATGGCTAAAGAATAATCAGCGCGTCGGAGCGTCGGCTGACTGACTGAAGTTCCGAGGTCCGCGGGATGAGATTCGGCGGCGGACGCTTCGCCGCAGATCGGCGCCGGGTTGCGCCCCACGAGACTCGACGCCGTGCGCCCGCCGCCGCCGGCGTCGCACCAACGATCCCTGCGACCACACCCCTTCGCGGTCCTAGGCCCCGCCCCCTTTCTCCTACACCCACGCTCGTGTCCCCCCTCACCCCCTCCCCCCCTCTC